CCGGGTCTAAAGTGACAAGGGTGATTGACAGCGTCAGTATTTGGAGTGGATACCACATTGGTGCCAAAACACCAATGGTAGTCATCGACGAAAACCTGAACCAGATCAAATTAAGGAATAATCTCGGAACCACTTGACTATCATTTGATAGGGGGCACCTTAGGAACGATTTTAGGTTGCACGGTGAGGTTGCCGGTTCACACAGAGCACTTTTAATAGCAGATAACTTACAGAACCAAGGGAATGAGCAGCTACCCTGGTCATCAAAATCGCCACATTTGAACCACATAGGCAATATTTCGGTAGGCCATTACTCGCCGAATCAACTGCCTACATGTTCTACAACAAAACTGGACCAAATTGGACAATTTTAGACCGATGCCTAGAATATTATTCCCGATTGAACTCTAAAAACCTACCCCAAGGAATGCCTTGCCGCTTGAGAGAGCTGGCAACAGCCAGGCGTAACAGCGGCCATTCTTGTGACTAGCAATTGACATGAGGGTCTTTTATGGAGCGTATAACTCTTTTACAGAAGATAATTTGGAAAATATGGAGATCCAAAATATCTCTTTTAATGGAAGTCGTATGGCATAGAATAGGCAATGTGTTTTTGTTTGCTTCTCAGGCGAATTCCATTAATGAATTGATGTCCCAATGACATCAAAGTGATAATTTAAAGTTATTAAAACACGATTTTAATCCTTATTTTCATTTATCAGTCAGCAAAATAGGAAAAAACCGATAAAAAATTACTTGGAAAAAAATATTCCATATTAAATGTCAAGTACGTATATATGAATATTTTTATTGTGATAATGCAACTCCAGGGTAGCTAGAGTATTAATATCATCAAACAAATTATTTTATCCTAATTTCATTTTCATGGAGCACAAGCATAGAAAGTTTTAGAAATAGAAGTACAGAAAAATTTGTTAAAAATCTGATAAAATAATTTATTTAAAGTCATAATAACTCTTCGTTTTGGCCAAAAATTGGATTTTCCTGGAAAAAACGGCAATTTTCCCGTACTTACCAATGGTCAACGACCCCATTCCTGCATTCAAAGTTAATCAAGGGTTTTTTTCCTAAACGTACGGTTTTTTCGTTAAAATCACTTAAGAGATTTTAACTGACGGAGCCCTCTCTCACATTGCAATAGTCACTGGTGACCTGCTTAAAACCGCGGGAAAAGCAGACAACAACAACACTATTTATGTCTCCTCCATCCCAGTGCATCACAAACTTGCATATTCCCGTTCATAGCAAAAGAGAATGCAACAAAGACTATCGGGTGTTCGTGATTTGGCCAAACAAGGCCGCTTTTATTAAATAAACTCACTATCCTAATAATTTTAACAACACAACGTATCGTGCGCGACAACAGAATGAGCGCAAAATGGGTCAGGCAGTGACGTCCCCTGGTATAAGTAGCAACATGTGCCTCAATTGGGACCACCCCTCTAGGTAGAATTGAGCATGTGCAGAATGCGCATGTGCGTAAATAAGCTCTGGAGATTGTTGTCGCCATAAAATATCGTTTGACTACGCCAAACTTTCCTATAACAATAATATAAGATCCATGAGATATATTCGTCTTTTTGTTAAAAATGCATTTATATCCACAATGTGTGCCATTCTGTTATGCGTTATCCGACGCACTGTACAAAAACTCGCAACTTACGTCTGCGTCTGTAATCAACGCGTTTGGCGCCATGTAATTTTGGTCTCGAATGAACACGAGAATCCGCGTGAC